GGGCTTCATTGCTAGAAGAGAATGGAAGAGTGCCAGTGGATCTACCTAGAAGTGAGGGCTTTAAACTGTTTAGGATGAAAACCGGACTTCACTATCTCCAAAGCCATCTATACCGTATTGGAGTTGTCGAATCAGGAATATACCCACTGTGTCGACAAGGATTCATGACTGCTCTGCATCTACTGACTTGTCTCGGACTACAGAACATTTGAAACCAAGCCCTCGCTTTGAAGAAGGTGAAATTTACTGTGCTGCTGGACGTCGCATTTTAATCGAATTGTCCCTGCGGTTTAATTCCATCATCTAGACAAAAAAAATTTTAACTGTTCAAGATTTAAGCTTTCAACTATTCTGTTGTTTAACAATTTCTGTCTTTCATACACCTTTTTCATTTATATAATTTGTAAAATCTGAGGTGGTTCGCCGTCTGGAGGACAGGGGATACCACTCTCCATCAGTTTATTTTTAAAAAAATGTTAAAAATAATGATTTTTCGGATATTTATCATCTAAAGCGATAATGTATCCGTGTTTTTTAAACATCTCTATAATTTGGAATTGATCCATATTAATAATTGAAGAACTTAATGTTCCTGATCCTAATATTTACGTTTTCAAGAAATTAATTGAAGCAAAAAGCAGATTTCTTTATTTTAAACGTAAATATTAGAACAGAGACATTTATTCTCACACGCTCTTGCTAATATAAACATTCCGAAAATCTTCAAAAGTGTAATGGGAGTCGAATTTAGCAAAGGTAGAAAGGAAATTCAAGAACGAACTTCTTGAATCATTTTATTTTATTTTTTTCTCAAAAGGATTTTTCGGGTTTCTTCAGCTAACCGTAATATGTTGCCAATACTGGAAGATAGGGGGGAAAATCAGGTTATGCTATTTTCTCAATACAAATCTCTGAACTGGAAGAAGGGAACATGAAACGTTTAATTTTTTTTTTTTCGTTTTTGAATATATAGTTTTCTTAACACCACAGTCATAAAAATGTTTACTTCACGATAAGATAAAATAAAAATAAATAGTGTTTACACTATTTACACATTTCCCCCCAACTGTAGCCTATTCTAGACACACAGAATCGAAGTCATTTAACATCGTTTACCTATACAGATAACTGTTTCACGTTTTGGTCTGTAATATTTTACTAACAACAAGGTGCTACTTAACTTTTATTTCTTTATTTCTAGCAACATGTTAGAAATAAGTTTCTACAGTTAGCAAACATGTGGAATAAGAAATTAGAATGCAGCAGCACTAAACAGAAATGACTCGCGGCTCCGACTGAGGGTAGCCTTGGTTGTTCATGAGTTGTAGAACCATGAAAAAAGAAGAAGAAATATGTGAAACTTAATCGCCCGTTTAAAATGATCATTAAGAAGTATGCTTCAGTAGAAAAACCTATTTTTTTGAAGCGCCAACACAGGCATTATAAACATTTTAATAATTGTCAAACATCCGAAAAACATGCGTTATCAGCATCCAGACCTATGGAGAGTGAGAACATAAAAAAGGCTATAGAACATAATTAAAGAAAAGAAAATTATATATAGCCATAAAACCTGTACCACAACAGAACATGAAGGGTCTGGGGCTCAGTACTATTTAGGGAAAGCACTGTTTCTAGGTCAACGGTTGTGCAAGGAAGTGATTTGACCGAGATCATGCTCAACCGCCAGGTTTCCCCCCTTAATTAATTATTTAATTAAGAGTACCCACTTTATAGAGGCTGGGTGTGCCCCAGGAGGGACTCCCAACCCAGGGTCGCCCCAAGGCCAATGAAACAGATAAATAAATTTTATGCGATGAGCCGGGGTTCGAACCTGGGACCTTTGCATTGGAAGCTCAGTGCCCTACCACTGAGCTATCCCACTCCCCAGATATAGCCATAAAGCGTATATAAATCACATACTGATCTAACTGCTAGGAAGGAGTCTACACCCCGAAGGGCGGAGACCCGAGGATTAGTCAAACTTCTCGGAGGACTACATCGGACCCATGACTAAATCGGCTATCATGAGGCGTTTCAATTACAGTTATTTTAAAGCTTAGATCAGTATAGCTTAAAGCCATTAACTTCATTCATAAAAAGTATTTACAATTTATATACATATTTCAATTTACAATTTGACTATTTTACAATACAATAATAAGAAATAACAATACAATTTTGGATACATTCAGTGAGCGCGCACGTGGGGCGCTGCCAGGCAGCGGGCCGGCGGACAACGTGTGTGGCGGCAGATGACCCTTTGTCCGCTGTACCTATATGCTTGATGGCCGACAGGAACAGGCCGCCACAACCTCTTCATTGTTTAAAAGAAAGTTGTTTAACTTTAAATTTTCTTCAAGAATGTTGATATTACTTTACTATCTAATCTTCAACCTTTTTAAAGTTAGATCAACCATAGTTTAATGGCGAGATTTCATAGAAAACTTACCTTTCGAATTTTCCGTTATTCTAGTGCTCTAAATCTTTAACTAATCCAGTGCTTACGTATTTATATATAAATATTATGTACTATTTGTATTAAAAGCAATTAAATGATATGTACTATTAAATATTAATAGTTACTTATTTATTGAAAAATATTACAATCTGTCTCAAAGGACATTTATAATAGTGTTCAGAGATCACATTCACACTCTATGTACAACAAATAAAATAAGATATACAGAAAATAATATATATACAACAAATAAGAATAAAATAACCTAAAAATAAATAAATAAAAAGGACACATACATACCTAAATACACTATTTACAATCTGGCAAGAGAATTTCGACACAGACTAGTCCCTTCAACTGTGGAGGAAAAAGCATGATTCCAGGAGGTCCATGCACTTCTCTCTCAACTGCGTCACTGGGGCTAAACCCAGTGGAGATTGAGCAAGAATGCTTTAGCCACATACATTCATGTCGTGAGTGGAGAATCTGGCCATTGCCAGAACTCCAATATTTACAAACTATAAAAGGTCGCGGGGCCTCTGCCGCTTTAACCTTCTTGGAGGATTATAGGGATGGGTGGTGCTGGATAGGGATTGTGCAAAGGGATTTGGATGATAGTTAAGGTTCTGGTGAAATTTGGAGAATTTTGCTGGGATAAGGTCTAGGAAAAATGAGATATTAAGGTCATGGTGTAGGGTTTTGTTGATTACATGAAAGGAGCATCGACTATTGTTCGAAAGACTTTGGATTGGAAGGATTGGATGCGTTTAATGTTAGAAAATTTTGCTGTTCCCACAGTTCAAGTCCAATCAAATAAAGGTTGATCATTCCGTTAGTATTTCATCCTTCCACAAAGTCAGGAGATTGATCCCTCCGTTTGTGGCTTCCGTTCCTGAGGAGTGTTAAGGTTGATCCCTTACACTGCAGACCAAAATAGGTTTCGGTATTGTCTTGTACATAAGTATTTAGTATTATGTATAGTTGGCCGTATCGTCGGTTAAGTTCCTGACTTTTAAGACTAGTATGAGGGTTCCACGGTAGTCGTCTGTCTAAGAGAAAGACAAGGTACCGCTCTGTGTCTGAGAAAGCAAGCTGGATGGAATTAAGTGTACTGGTATACAGGAACTGCATCGTAGTGTGACGGTGATGTGTTGGCATTTGGATTCATTTGCTTTGAAGGTTTAAGGATGCTATGTTAGGATCTGAGTTAGATGATAGAATGGCGGTGTCATCAGCAAAAGTTGCCAGGAAGGTATCGGGATAGACAGGGATATCGGCGGTAAAGAGGATGTAAAGGACGGGATCCAGTACGCTACCTTGAGGAACACCAGCCTCAATTGGATAGAAATTTGAAAATTCAGTGCCGCATCGAACTCGGAAGGTACGATCTGAGAGGTAGGAACGGAGGACTAGATATAAGGACTGAGGAAGATGGGTTTTAAGTTTGAAAAGAAGCTCGGCGTGCCATACCCGGTCAAAAGCTTGAGCTATATCCAGAAATGCACCCGAGCAATACTGCTTGCTTTTTAGGGTTGAGGAAACAATCATACAGTAGACGAAGGAATAAAAAACAGAAAAGGAAATAGTCGATTTTTTTATGTATACTTCACGAAGAGATCAAATAAAAAAAGGTGATAACTGGCACATTTTTTCCCTATGCAGTTTGAAATGAGCTGTATATAAAGTTTTATGAGTTATATCTTAATCATTCGGAAGGTAGTTGAGATATCGCTCTCAGTTGAAGACACTTTAGAATATTAGGTTTCATAGCCCTTAGATTCGAAGTTTCATGATAAAAAATGAATATCGTTTTATGCTTGATTAGTTCCAATTCCGAGTTTAGTCAGCTTTCATTATGTTAATCAGCCGTCTTTTATTGCAGACATTTTAAAGGAAGTCTACATGTTTTACAATTATGGGTGTCCCTTGATTGATGAAATGTATGGCAGCTTACTTGCTTGGCCTTATTCGGTCTCAAGCTGTATGAGAAGTCTACAGACGTCTCGAGAGCTGCTGTACTCTTCTTCAACAAAGTACGATAGGGTGGAACTTGAAAAAAACGTTTATTTTGAAGTGGTAGAGAGAAACCTTCCATACCAATGCCGGCATTTTGAGTTGGCAGACAAATGAGAATTAAATGCAGAGTGTAAACATTATAATAGTGTATGAGCAAACATTTTCTTAAAATAAGGCAAACCATTTCGACTCGTATCTTGGATTACCACTCCACTTCGCGGATATAACTTATTACTTGCAGAAAGTGTTAAATATACCTATTACTTCTTCTGTTATCCTAACTTCACAGTTACCTAATAATCGCTAATGATTTCATTACAGTTTATCTTCACAACACAACAAAATTACAAGTGTTAACTTTGCAATTTGGATTAGCCCTGTCAGGAACCTCTTTGGAAAATCGATTGCTACCGAATCTTTTTGTGGGCGTGTTCAAAGCGAGAAACTTATGTCACGTGACTTGGGGGAGGGTGTAGATATGTTCTTTGTGTATCATTTTGATAGTCGTGATTTCATTTGTTTTCCGGACTCGGCTCTGTCAGTTACACTATGCCGTTGAATTTTAGTTGTTATTTTTCATATTTATTTAATAAAAACAATAGTACGTAGTCATTACACATTTTAGGTAGTTCATAATATGCCGCCTTTCCCATCTATTTATAAAAGTTTGTTTAATAGTGATTTGAAAACTGTCTTGTTTTCATGGATAGTTTATAGATGTATTGAAGTGCACTGTGGATTCAAATTGTAAGTTCCCCATTTACTGTTTGAATTATTTAGCCAGTTTTTCTAACTATGCAAAAAAGTTATTTTAAGCAGTAATTGAATTTATTAAATACCATTTATTTCTTATTCTTGGAATGAAACTTTTAAGTATTGTTAAAGGCATAATGTTTAGAGCTTAATTTATTTTATGTTTATTGTGTGTACAATTCACATTTCATGTAAATAATAAGATTCTATTTTATCCATGGAAATGATAACAAGGTTTGATTTATTTATTTCTGTGAGTAACTCGAATTTGGAAGCTAAAATATTATTAAGTTTGATAATTTAATTTAATTGTGATCACTAGGGGATGTGTCTTTATTTTTGTCATCCAGCATTGAAACAAAATTGTAGTCGCATACCTTAAAACCTCATTCTTGAATGATGTTTTAATTCTTATATGATAGTTTCTAATTTATAAATGACAGAATTTTGAGACATAGTAAAACAGAATGTAGGGTTTTTGGTGAATGATGGTATTGTCGACTTTAGTATTTAAAGTTTCATTTTTTTTTTTTTTAATATTCTTTTCTTCCATTTCAGTGTATAATATTTAGTTTCTAGTTTATTTATTTTAAGCCAACTTACACCAATGTTTTCACTACAAAATCTTACTACGACGTTTCGGCTCATCGAGCCATTTTCAAGTCTATCATGTACTTGTCCATTATACTTCTTTTGTGAATATGTTTCTTTTTTTCTTTAACATTTCTGATTATTATTTTATATCCATTCAAATGAATTAAGTCTACTTTTCTTAAAGTGATGTTCAACATTCTTTTCACTTAGTAACAGTTAATATTTCAGGTGTAAATCAATATCACACTAGTATTGTTTTTTAGTAATGTTTACTTAAGGTTATATTTCAGTAGCTTATACCCCTGAATAGTTGTAATAACCATTGCTTTAAACTAGTTTGATGTATAATCTCATACATTGTGTTACTCCTTTAGTATCCACACTATTGATCTGTAATAAAAATCTTATCACATTTATGTAGCCTATGTGCGATTAAATTTTAATAACTTTGGAGATTCTGAGTTCTTTCCTGTTTTTAACACTTCGGTTTAATTTATAAATAATTTTTTGGGATAAAAAGTTTTAAAAAATACTGTGTTTGATCCTTTGCTCATACAGTTTATGTATATATATATATTTTGTATTATTATGCTTAATATGGAAAATATCAGAAGAAAAACAAAATGATAAAACATTATAGTTCCTCTCTAAAAAATTAATTATTTTATAAATAAATATCTGCTAGTGGCATGTGCTGCCTTAGTTTTATTATTATTGTGCTGGACACATCCATAAGAGCTATTGATGAACGTTGGTTATCCATATACCATAAACCAAAGTCAAATGTACTAATTTGTTCTGGCAATGAAAGTCTGGGTGCCATATCCTATAGCATATTCTCTAAGAGCCCTGAGAAACACAATTTACCCAGCCAATTGAAAACACCACCACAGTCTCCGGACATAAATGCCATAGAACACCTATATGTGCCTGTTGGATTTGAAAGTAAGAAAAATAAAAATATTTAAAAGAAACTTTGTTAGAGGAATCGCGTAAAATTGGACAAAACTTGACTCGAAATTTTGTTTTGTCGATACCAAAAACATTCCAGGATGTCATAAATGCCAATGGTTTGATGACAAAATATTAATAAATATCCAGTTCGTGAAATAAACCTCAAATTAAAGAGTGCCAATACTTGTTTGACCGTGTTGAAGTGATTTTTCGTTAAGTAAATTTAAATTTTTTTACCCCAATTATGTACTTATATTAATTAAAAATGTTTAACAAGTCAATTTTGAATTCTTTTACTATGAAATCTGAAAAAAGTTAAGTGTGCCAATACTTTTTGATCCACGGTGTATACAATATAATTTTCTTTGACAGTACAAAGAGTAGAAATGTGAGATTATGATAAGATACATTGACCAAGTAGTAATTAGTTAATGGTTTCTTACATTCTATTCATATTGTCACATGTCTCACATTTGTTTAGTAGGTTATTTATTTGTATTATTTTTTTTTTTATGTGACTCATAATATTTTTTTTTTCAGATTTGAAAACCTATGTCAATGGTAAATAAATAAAACTTGAGCCTAGCATGGTTTTTTATCAAAATTTGGCCCTCGTTCAACAAATCCTTTTATTAGGTAAGCCTAGTAAAATATTTCTATAGTTTAACTTTAATACTGCAATATAAATTTATCTGATAAAATGGACTTGTTGATTACACAAGTATTAATAAATTAATATATACTGAAAGTTAAAAATATTTTTAAAAAACTTTATGTTTTAGCCACACTTTCGTAAAGTACTGAATGTTTAGTTTTAGTTGGGTGAAACTGAAATTAATAAAGTTAATAACAAAATGAATAAAATTACATTTTGTTTCTAAACTACAAACTTAACTTCCAATTGCAGATTTACCTTTTCTTGCTTTATATATCCACACTAAATAATTTTTTTGTTGTTAAAATTGATCAGGAACTCTTAAGTTTTCAGGCAGGATAATTTTTTTTTAAATGTTTGTCAAATTTATCCTTGAAATTTCCTATTATAATTAAGTTTGGATTAGCACTTGCTGAAAATCTGAATTATTGAGATATAATAATACCAAATTACTTATACTTACAATACCAAAGATAAAATAGTAATTGTTTAAAACAAGTATCTTATAAAAACAAAAACAAGCCGATAACTTCAAGTGCATATAAATTTGACTCTTATCACATCTGTTATTTATTATATAAACATGTATTATAAATATATTTAAAATGATAGTGGACTAGGTTATTCACATTAATTAATTTTAATACAGAATATGTTTCCCTCTTGGTGCCAGGAGCTGTTGGCAGTAATAATAATAAAATATATTATTACTATTCATGGATTTTGAACTTATTTCAGAACTGTAGTTATTTCGGAAACTATTATTTTACATTTTTGAAAAATAATTTAGTTATAAAATAAATGGTATTCAAGCAATAAATAAAAAGTTAATAAACCAATTTATGTTAATTATTTCAGAAATATACGGCTTTATTTCAATGAATGTTTAAGTCATCCAAAGTTAAAGAAGTGTATATTAATAATAAAATTTATGGAATAACCATTATTTTGGAAATAATTATTTCATGAATTATCCCTTCAATCATTTATTAAATAAATGAACTCAATAGTGCCCAGATCGCTGAAGTGATAGGAATGGTGAAGCGCAGTACATAGAGCTGTGATTTGACAGCGCCTCATTGTAGGCACTGTTGGAGTTTAGGGATTTCACAGTGACTGTAATCTCAACTTCGGCCCCATCACCATGACAGACTCACATATCCGCCTATATCGCCCCATCACTAATTCCGCTACTACTGGATACTACAGTACTTGTAGTATCCAGTAGTACCGGAAATTGCGGCCTGATAAAAGTTGGGTTTATCTTCAAAAACATTTGATGAAAACTTTCATCAGACCTAATAAGCATTGATAGACTTACGAATAATTTACTCTAATTTGATATCATTTTTATTTTTCTTATAATTTTATTTTTACCTATTAAAAAAAAAACTATTGTCCAATTTAAATAAATCTGTGTTGGTGATTGAAAACATTAATATTTTTAATAATATTGTATTAACAATTGACTGTCGTTGATATAGATGAAGAGTAGTTGGTTTGGGTATTTGGTCAAACAAATAATAAACTAAGAATAAATAGATTATTTTTATTTTTGCCGACGTTTTAGGCCTACATCAAGGCTAAGACAAGACAAGATAACATTAATGTGAGAAACTAGTAAACGGTAAAAGTAATAATATGTAGGTAAAAGGTATAGTCTAATAATGTGTAGGTTGAGTAAACATAACATAAATAATTACGTGGAAATACATGATATGTAAATAAAGGAAGTATAAAATACAACTTTTATACAACTTAAAGAGTCATATCCCCAACACCCAAAAGCCACTGCTCCCTGTCCATCCAATCTCCTTCACGGAGCCCTCTGGCTGCCATGCTTTCCTCCACGTCCTCTGTCCATATCTTCTTTGGCCTTCCACGCTAACTTCTTTCAGGTGGCATATAGGTATAAATTTTCTTTGGCAAGCGGTTCTCATCCATCCCCATTAAGTGGCCATACCACTTTAACCGTTTGGTCCCGATCAGGTGAAGGATGTTCTTTTGACATCCAATCTTGTCTCTAATTGCTGCGTTTGGGATCCGCTCGATTCTAGATATACCACAGCTTCTTCTCCAGAAATCCATTTCCATGGAAAGCAACTTATTTTCCATCTTTTTTGTTATTGTCCAAACTTCTGATCCGTAAGTGGCTACGTTTTCTACAAAGGAATGGTATATTTCCTTTTTCGTTTCTAATCTTAATTTCTTTACTCCATAGGGTTAAATTTAGGTTAGGAACTTACGAAATAAAAAATAATAAAAACGGTAACAACACAATTAATTTAAACAAGAAATGAAAAATGGAACAACAAAGAAATTTAATGAAATACTAAGAGCTAAGAGATAAAAATTGTAAGTGTTAAACATAGAATATATAAGGTGATATTGTTGCTATACGTTGATGTCTTAATATGTTAAGAGAAAGTGAGATAAACATGGAATAAAAATGAAAAACAGAGAAAAATAATGTGAAGTTATATAAAGAAAATAATAAAAGTAAATAGAAAAATTAAGGTGTTGTAAAATCTATCAAAACATACTGTACGCATACAAGAGAATTGCAAAGTTAAAACTATGTAAATTAAGAAAATAAGGTACAATGAGTAAATTTAACAATATGAACAAAGCAGTGCCATTGATATAGAATAAAGAGTAAAGGGAGAAATGTAAATGAGAAAAATACTGAAATGAAAGATGAATTGGAAGACTAATATGTTCTCACAAAAGGTGCCATAAGGCAGACAGTTGACAGAAGGAAAAAACAGTGGAACTTACTTAGTGTACTCTTTAACAGTTATGGAATAAGTGAACTTAAGCACAGAAAAGTATATCATAGTTGAGAGGTTGTCTATGGATAATATTTCATGTACATACTATATAAATGTGGAATTGAATGTTTATGAAAATAAAATATCTGGAGGTAGTACAGTGCGGAGACAATAAATATTATTTAATAGTGAATCAGTAATGAAATTAACGTAAAATGTATATGGGATTGAAGAAAAATGAGAAAGTTGTCAAGATTTATTAAAGAGTTTCACAAAATCATCAAACAGGGGAGAGACCATAAGGGCGTCCCAGAGTTTCATATCAGGATTTCATGCAGAGGATCGGAGGTACAAGAGGAAAGTCCTTCAACCAAATGAAGCGGTTAAGCAGAGACTGGGCTGCGCTGGATAGAGGCTCATGTTGTCAAGATTTATTAAAGAGTTGTCACAAAATAATAATAAGAAATTGAAGGAATGATAAGTAAAATTGGATAAAGTAGGATAGGAAAAAAAAAATTAAATGAAAAAAGACATGATGTGATTTAAAGAATAGATGGAGATACTAGAAGGAAGAATATAAAAGACATGATGTGTAAAGAATACATGAGGATACTAGGAGGAAGAATATAGAGGATGGGAAAGAGCTACCATGCCATGGATGTTTTAATAGATTCAGAATTTAAGAATAGGCCAAGGATAAATTTTGTTTGTCTGTTTTTTGATTAATTAGCTGTGATTCGAACTGGATATATAGGCTTTCAGAGATAAGTCATTTGTTATGGTTAGAAACGGAGGCTAGCATGGAAGTTCTGTCGAAAATAAATGTATGATCTAGAGAAAGGGATTGTTCAGATAGTTTAGAGGCTGTGAAGTTAAGGGAGAGTACAGAATATTTATGTTAGGTGATGCGGTCTTTTAGAAGATTTTTGGTTTCACCTATATATAAGAGGAAGGACAGTTTGGGATGAAACACTGGATTTGGTATACAATATGAGAGCGATACCAAAGAGGAATAGGTTAGAAAGTGTGTTATGAGATTTGAAGGCGTCGTAAGTTCAGGTTGTTAGATCATAAAATTTATTTATGTTTTCAGAAAGGTTGGGGATAAAATGTAGAGATCTGTATATCAAAGTGGAAATGGGTTGTGGAGGACTAATTTTTGTGGTCTTCGGTAAGTTTATTGATGATATTGAGAGCAAAATTATTAGCTAAAAGGATCTTTATGATATGTTGGTTATTGGTTTCATGAAAATAGGAATTGGAGTGGGAGAAACTTAGGTGAATGAGATTTTTAGCAACATTAATTTTTTGGTGATAAGGATATTTAGAATGGAAGTTCAGAAGTCTGCTTTTGTAAGTTGCTTCTGTATACCAGTCTAGTCTGTGGGCCAGACCCCCCTACCGTGCACCTCTCCCCCACACATACCTATAAATTGGATATTGTGTTCCTTGTAACTATTTATTTAAAAAAAGCCAATGTTCCTACACAAAAAAAGTGAACACACAGCCCCAAAATGGCAGACTGACGACTTTGACTTTAGTTAGTGTTTTTGGTCACTGAGAATCAGCATTTGACTCAATTTTGTCATAGTTGGTTTTTTATTAAAGCTGGATAGTTAGATAATAATAAAACATGAAAAAATGTTAACAAATAATTGGCTTAGGCATTAAAAAACACAAATAAAATAGATTTTTTTAACAAAAATATTTTCAAGTTGAAAATCAAGCGTCGTTTGTAATCAAACGGCCAAGAATAACGCAAAACATGCTGAAATAAAATATCTGGAGAATATATTTCTCTTTCTAAAACGCTGATTACTTTTTAAAATATTTGAAGCTGTTCCGTAGAAAATGCATTTAAGTGGCAGAAAAGCGGTACTGGCATAGGTGCCTACAGGCCTCTACCACACCATTCAGTATTCATAAATGGCTTAGTTATTGTGCTATAATAACGCTTGTGTTGCATTATATTGATTATATTAATGAACAAATATTAATGCAATAATTTAATTGTGCAAAAAAAATATTAATATTGATATTGAATGCATTATTCTCTGCACGAAGAAAGACGGTGAAGGTTAAGCTATGGGTTCTTCAAGGTAACCAGAACTGATTGTTTATTTTTAATAAACCACTTTATTTTCTTTTATTCTATAAGAAGGTCTCTATCGTAAAAATGATATAATTATAATAATAAAACTTAATTCAAAAATACTTTGCTGAATATCATTATATTTTCATTTAACATTTGCAATTTAACACTTTGATTTGTATATTTACTGATTCTTTGAGGTAATTTAAATTGTATATACTTTCCCGGAAATGAGCCATATTAATACCTTTTTTATTAACTAAGATAATATATATACCTAGTCTGAACTACATATAATGAATAGTTGATGGGTTGTTTAGTAAAACTCATATATCACTAATCAAAAAATTAATTTTTATTTCCTTTATTTTGTTCGGAAGTTGGACCATATAAAAAAATAGGAAATTTTAATCTTGAATGCGTTATTCTCTCTGCACAAAGAAAGATGGAAATGGCGAAGCTATAAGTTCTTCTCGGTAACCAGAACTGATTGTTAGCATTTGGTCTCAAAATGAGGGAAAACGTGAAATTGAACCCAAAAATTGGAAAAATATATTAAGCGAACAAAAAAGGAAGTGCCATAATTTTGGAAAAGATATAGTAGACAGATTAACAGAATATTTCAAGATGCTGCTAAAAGGAGGTCAAATGTTGTTGCAGTTTTGATGATATTAAGGGGACGATGCAGGTTTTTCAGGTGAAGACTGTTTTATTAGCAAGAAAGATTTGTTCGAAGCAATCGGCAAGACAGCTGGTCCAGACGAAGTAAACCGAACTGCTGCGTGCAGATAGGCAACAAATGTACTAGAAAATGATATAAAAGGACTGTAGTTTTGTCCATTTACATGAAAGGAGATACTAAAAAATCCCATCGAGATTCATTCCTGTTTAGTGTACCAAAGAAACTCTACTCAAGAATCGTAGAAGCTAGAATAAGAAATATTGTCGATTACCTGAGTGATATGGATTGAGAAACTCAAGTTGCACATTGGAACAGAAGTTGCAAATTGGGACTGTCTTCACTTTAAGACAGATTATAGAGAAGCCCATCAACAAAGAAAAATAGCTCTCTATCTGCTTAGTGCCTCACACTTCAGATTGTGCTGATATCTACTAGTCTTTCAGGAAAACTTGTTTTCCTTTCAGAATACTTCAAAAATCTTTTGTAAATGCACTAAACAGAAGGAGAGCTATTTCCCTTTCTCAATAGACCTGTTTATAACCTGCTTCAATGTGAAGATAGTCGCAATGTGCAACTTCAGTAGCAATCGAAAATAAAGTGGTTTATTTAAAATAAACAATCAGTTCCAGTTACCTAGAAGAATCCCAAAGCTTCGCCCTTTCCATCTTTCTTTGTGCAGAGAGAATAATGCATTCAATATCAATATTAATGTTTTTTGCACAATTAAATTATTGCATTCATATTTTTTCGTTAATACAATCAATATAATGTAACAAAAGCATTATTATAGCACTATGCCATTTATGAGTACTGAATGGTGTGGTAGAGGCCTGTAGGCACAGACAATGATTCTATATTCTGTTGTAAGATATATGACCTTGATAAGGTTGGTAAAGTGGAAAGGGAATGGGAATTTCTTTCCCATTAGTAATAGGCAGTTTTATTATTTTATTAAATTTGACTAAATTATAACAAGTGGATAATCAGGTTTTGGCTAGGCTGTAACTTTTCATTTTATAGTGCACTGTGGCACAATCTACTGTTTTTATTGCTAAATATTTTGCTAATATTGCTTCAAAATATAAATTGATTTAATTATGCAATACTTTCTCAAAATATGTGAATTCTTATTTAATTTATTGTTGTATCAGTCTATATTATTTAAAAGTCTTATTGATTTCGTTCTTATATATGTTTGTTTGTTACAGATAATGGCCTATCGGGCAAAAATTTTACATATAGTGGTGCTGGGGATTATTGGAGTAACAATAGTTTTCTATTCTTCATATTCAACTGGACCAGTTTTTCTTTATCATATCAAATCCAACTTTCAACGTAAGTTACTTTATAATTATCTATAAGAATTTTTTTTCTTTTTGTGGCCATCTGCTCCTTTTATTACTTTTTAATATTTATTAATACAAAATAAATAATTAAAGCTATAATAAGTATATGCTATTTAATGACAAGTGAATTCATAATCCATTTCAATCATCAATCTTATGAGTATTAATTAAGTATATAACTAATTTAATTATTATATATCCTTATGTCTGTTACTAATAATAATGGTAATAACCATTTGTAAATTATAAAAAATCAGGCTGGATGAAATGATTTATTAATTAAAAGATGTTTATAAAAAACATTAACCAAAGTTTTATATGCTAATAAAAACATATTAATATAAAATTTTTATAACTGGCTGAAGATAATTTTATTGAAATGCTATGTAATATTTACAGAAAACAGTACAAATGGAACTTCCGAAACGGCAGCTAGTAAACATCTTTCACTTCATGGACCAACTCAAGTTACTTTGTCTGTTACCCCCGAAACTCTAATAAATAAAACCAAAGTGGAAGAAAATCATGTATTGGATAAAACAACCCAAGGAATTACGACGGATGCCATCTATGAGTCCGGATATGACATTCCTAATGCTGATTTATGCCCAGAACTTGGAAAAAGATTAAAAGTAGTTGTTGGGATTATGTCTGCTCCTAGTCATAAAGATGCAAGGATGGCTATAAGGCAAACTTGGGGTCATTATGCTTTACGCCAAGATGTATCTTTAGCATTTATTGTTGGTACATCAAAGGAGGTGCAATTAAATAGTATTACAAGCGAAGAATCTACTATTTATGGTGATATAATACGTGGAAACTTTATTGACTCTTATGATAACCTAACATTAAAAACTATTTCTTTTATGGAATGGGTTGATAACTATTGTTCTAGCTCTCCATTCGTATTAAAAACTGATGATGACATGTTCATTAATTTTCCTAAGTTACTGAGTTTTATTGAAAAACATTGGAAATCTGAAAACACAATTTTTGGAAGATTGGCAAGAAAATGGAAACCTATAAGAAACAAGAGGTCTAAGTATTATGTTTCAGTAAAACAGTTTTCACAACCAGTTTTTCCAGATTTCAATACAGGGCCTGCTTATTTATTAACTGGAGATATAATTAGTAGACTTTACAAAAATGCATTAAAAAGTACATATCTTAAATTAGAAGATGTGTTCACGACTGGAATTGTTGCTCAATCTTTGAATATTAAAAGAGTTCATATTAATGAATTCATTAACAAAAGAATACCTTTTAACATCTGTAACATCAAAAAAAGTATAAGTATTCATATGGTCAAATTCCATGAACAATTTGATCTTTGGAAAAAGTTATTAGATGGTCGATCTAAGTGTAAATAACCATTTTTATTTATTATTATTTTGTTTTTGTTAAATGCTGTTTGAGTGACAAATCAATTGCAGCTTATATATTTTTTCTGTATTATAGCTTGACTATTTTAGATTGTATTAATTTTGTGTATATTATGAGTATTAATATTTTTGTACAAATTATTATTTCATAATGTTGGAACATTCCGTATTAACTTTATGATTATTATGTGATGATTAATTATTAGGATATCGATTTTTTTTTGTAAGGTGTATGATTGATTATTAGGTTAAAAAAGTATTCTCCTTTGTAATGTATGACTTCTGTTTTGAAAATCCCATTAAGAAAAGTGCTGTGAAAAACTTAATAAGTGTGCAATGTTTGTTACACCTTTCATTAATTTGGAATCCTTTGATTCATCCTTATTTCTGTTAATATCTGATAAATAATCTTGATTTTATTTTCAGTACAAGTAGATATGTATGTATGTGTGTTTATATATATATACACACTCATTACTTTAATTATCAAACTGGTTAAAATATTTATTTTTAAATTTTAGTATTGTGATTTGACTTGAGAGAGCGAAAAATGTGTTGTCCTAGTTTTAAAAAATTGAAAGACTTACGTTATTAGAAAATTGGTTGGAAGTAACTTGAAAGGAGTTCAGTTTTAGTTCAATAATGTATTATTTTTATCACTACCTATAATTATAAGAATTCAATAAACGTTAATTTCTTATATATGCATATATATTTGTGGTACCTGTGAATAGTTGGTTTAGTGTAATTTAATTGATTTTGAATAATGTGTTTCAAATTATTTTGTTTCTCTTTCTGTGTATGTGTTTAATGGACCAAATGGTATAGCTGTTACAAAAAGGGAATGCCCTTCCTTATAATAGCTATCACAACCCATTATTCACAGGTGCCACAGATTTTTTTTACTTGTCGGTTTCATGTTTATAGTATAAGATCCTCCACTTTGTAGATAAACTTTACTTATATTGAAAAATTATAAATGACTGTGATAGCTTAGGTGTTATTTTTGATGTAATAAATCTGAAATTGAATATTAATTCATGAACGATTTTATTTATAGTACTGTATGTGTGCCCAAATGCAACTATGTTATTTTTTGTGTTCTACTTTTGTCTTTAATTATTCTGTTATGTTTTTAAAATATTGTTATCAAACTTGTAAATTAAAAGGATGAGTTATTTCATTTTCTTTTTGTTAATTTATTCAAAAGTGTTTATGTACTATTTTTATGATTTTTGAAAACTTGGTGCTTATAATTTTTTTAAAACAGTACCAAATTGATGCTAATTTTTCTGAAGTGAATGTATTTTGACTTTTCATTATCATATTGGAATTGTTCAAATAATAGCATATAGTTTTAAATAATTCTATGAATTATAATATTTGTGTACCAAAGGAATCTAGGATTTTATTTTCTAATTTTAAAAGAACAAGACAAGGTATGACTGTTTACATTTTTAGAACATATAACGTTAAATATATCTCAATATTAACTCCTATCAGTCTAATCAATGAATGATTTTAGAAGGAAATGGTGGCGACACAATTTTTGACTGGAACATTGTTTGGACTTGTAAGGAGGTAAACATACTAAAAGTCCCCACTCCTAGGTGGTGAGCCAGTTGTGGGCGGAGGGGGGAAGGGGGGCCTAGAAGGTCTTTTTTTTTCGAGTTTTCGCTTATATCAGGAAAGCTATCCATCACATTGACAAAGACGTTCTATACACAATTAAAGCTTATAAAATATGATTGATGATATGCCTTTTTTCACTACTTTGCTTAGTTTCTGAGATATCCATCCTTAACTATGGTTTATTTTAAGAAAAAAAAATTTGCTTCTTGTTTATTGCTGTTTTTGGGTTTTTGCTTATATCTAGAAAACTATCCATCACATCGACAAAAACACTACAAAATTAAAGCTGATAAAAATTTCAATATGATTAATTATATACCTTTTTTCGCTATCTCGTTTTTGAGATATCCGTCCTCAACTATCACTAATATGGAAAAAAAACTTTTTAACTCATGCTTTTTACTGTATTTGACTGACTAATTCTTGATTGTTTCGTTCTACGATTAAGTCATGGTGGAAGAAAGTTTTTAAGAATTAAATTTTTTTCAAGAATAGATATTATTTTACAAGTTTATCTCCAACGGTTCAAAAGTTGGATCAATTATAACTTTACACATCAATTCCGAGAATTTGCAGAAGAGGTTAATTTTTAAATTATACATTATTTTATGTATATATGTATACATAACGAGTTAGAGCAATATAACAAGTATTATATTAACTGCTTTTGACGGGACTTCTGACTTGAAAAAAACAAAACAGATAAATTGTTGTGTGTTTTCTTATCAATTGTGGGCAGCTATATTTAATTTCTACACATTTTATTGGTGTTAAAGAAGTCCCTTTAGAACATCAGTCTTTATTGCCCAATGCATTCAATATTTAAAAAAGTATATGAAGATATATTTAATGAAAAGATAAATAATAATTTTAATGTAAAACTTCAAAACAACACAAATATTTGAATTCCATCGATGAAAATCAAATTATAGTAAAAAATATAGTTTTCGAACTGGAACAATTGAAAAAGAAGGAGTCTCAAAATTAATAAAGTGAATGTGAACAGGAAGGAGACATGCTAATACACATAATTACATGTTTTGAGTTTAAAGTTTTATTATGTTCCTGTATAATTAGGAAGTATAATCCTAGAGTTACTATTATTTGATATTTTTTTAATTCACTGTATATTTTGGTTGGGTGTTTCTTAAAACTAATAATAAGCAGATGTTTTCTTTCTTGGCCAACATTTTTTTTCAATTTTGTCACCAGTTGTTGGCTACACACTATACTCTTAATGACTCCAAGTCTTTAAATGAAAGTTGCCTGAAATAACAATATTTAATCATTTGTATTTATCTCCATAATTGTTTCCTCATACAGTAGATGCCCTCTTAACTGGATTGCTCTCTCTTCAGACCAAGGTACTGAGCCAAATAAGAAATTTGTTTGCATTTGCAAATAAATACGTATTGTATGCATTAAAAAAAAAAAGAAGATAAATTGTATTTTCTTATCAATTACTGGTCAGTTATTTTTTCATGATTTATTTATTTTTTTGTGGATATAAGTGTTTCTGCATGGAATTTTATAATTCTAGAAAAGAGTGGCAAACTAGAAATAATTAAATTTTAGAAGTAAGATTTATTTGATTACTCTTTTAAAAGGAGATTTGCAGATTCATCCTATAAGAGGGTAGGTACCTACTGTATATACTAATCTTAAAGTAGTTGAACGATTCTTGTATTTTTCTTAGTTTGTGTCTCAATTTGATTTTTGAGTTTATTATTTATTTACAACATGTAGCTGTTGTAATTAAATTCTATTTATTTTTTATGAATTTTGCGAGTTCTGTATTATATAATTAGCAGATAATGAGTACTTGTAATTTTTATAATGCATCTCTATTACCTTTTGTTTTACTCCTAAGATTAATTTTTTTACTACACAATAGTCTTGTGTTTATAATTTATGAGCATTTAACATAGTAATTTTGTTATAATATTAATTAAATTAATCATCTACGCAAATGAGCCTAGGGTGTTTATTATTATTAGTTCATGTTGCTGTCTTTTGTTGAATTATATCATAGTTTAATTGTTTAATTTCGAATGGAACATATCATACCAACATACTTTAAATTTCAATATTAGTTTTCTTATACAATCATGTTGTTAATTATCAAATATAGGTTAAGTATTTAGTTTTATTTTTTAGAAGAATAATTAATATATAATCCGTATTAATAAATATAAATTTTATGTATATTCTTCCTATCTAGGTTTGTTATATGAATTATTCTTTTCACTGCATTGCTATATCAACAGTTAAATGTTACTCTTGGTTACTACCATAATAAGGGATATTGTATATTTAGATTAATGAGTTTTGAATGATTTCATAAAATTTCTCAGTCGATATTAAATTAAAAAAATGTTATAGGTACTAAAAAATTTACTTCTTGGTTTATTTAATTGATTCTCTATAAATTTATGAATGATTGTGATGGTGAAGCTACACAATAATTGCAATGGATATACATGAATATGCAATATATTGTATTATATATTAGTTTATATTACAGTTAAGGGGACTGATGGCTTGTTTAAATTTGATTTCCATTACTCAAAATTATAATTATCAGATTAAAATTAATTGTTTTTATGATGTGGCTAGCTTTAAACAATTTTATCCAGCAATATTGGTTTCTCATATTTGTCTTATATGTTTTTTTTTTTTTTTTTAAGATATGTCAGATAATTTCACACATTTTATTAACTTTACATACCAATGAAATTGGACAATAAAGGGCCTGAAAATCAAAATGATAATTATCCTTCTTTTATCAGGGAATGATATATGATTTAAATAGTGATAAAAATTGTATTTGGGTAGCACAGGTTTTATTATTTTTAATTTATAAATTTCATTATAAGATCGAATTTTTCTTCTTTAGTCATTATTTTTAATAATTTCACCATGTGATTTAGTTTCAGAATAAGAAGCTGTTTTTTTAGATTATTGAATTTGAAGTAGTTCTGCGTCCATTTATAGATATGACAGATAAAATTAATTAGACCTAATGATTTTATTTAATTAAGCATCCATCAATAAATTGAAGTTGTCTTCATTGTGATTGTGTTGAAAATTGCAGAGTTGTAGGTTAATGAATTTTCAACGGCTTTATTTATATTTCCATGGTAATTCATTAGTATATGTTTAGTATAAAATTGTATCTCTATATTAATTTGAAAAAAAATATTAATAAGTTAGTAATTATTATGTCACCATTGTGATTTAGTTAAAAGAAAAAAGGGACTGTTAGATATTGATGAACTCACTGAACCTATTAGCAATTTTGTGATTATTTACTTCTTTATAGTATTTGAAATACTTTAGTTTAACTTGCTGCCATTGTATTCAGTATTGTAGAAATTTATAATTTTCTTGTGATCTTTTTCTTTCATTTATTTATTCAAAGTGTTCCCAAAAAGTGATTCTCAACTTGTCTATCAAAT